TGACTCCAGATTGGCTATTTGGAAAAAAGGGCAAGGAAAAGAGTGACCCAGCTCTCAGTAGACCATCCACACTGCTGGTAAAAAATAAAATAAACAAAATAAAATAAACAAAATAAACTCATAGCATAGGATTCATCTATGGCAGTGGCGACATGGTCCTGTCCATCTGCCTCTATCAGGATAGAGTCTCCATTGTTGATCTCTGAGAAAGAGGTGCTATCTGTGAAGCCTCCTGCATATTATCAAATAAAGTGCTCTTTTCAAAGGCAGGCACTGTACAGGTAAGACTGATGATGTGTGCCTGCCTTCTGGGCAACATCTCATTAGACTTCCTCTGAATCATTCCCACTGGACACAACAGCAAAAACATGCACATCAGTGAGTTTTATGGTTCTATCTAAGGCATATAACATTTTTCTCACTGAAAGTCTGTGATTGTTTCAGAGAATGAAGGGGCTTACCCTACTCACCTGCCCCTTAAAATATTCTGCTAGAAAGCTGATACCTCTGCTCAGGTTTTCCACAGCACATCACTCTTCGGTGAGAATTCTATTAAGTGGTTCAATTCAAATCCATGGAAAAATGACTGAGTATCCAGTCATAGCTCCCACCACTCTCTAGCTGTGCAATTAGAGGCAGATTATGTCACCTCCATCATTAAATTTCTCATCTGCAAAGTTGGAGTACTAACAGTAGCTACCAGAGAGAATTATATGGAGTAAATGAGATTAAACCACTCATTAAACTCCTTGCAGTCTCTAAACATTAGAAACTCAATATGAGGAAGTTATTTCTACTCTAAGCCTATCACAGTGCCTGTTATTCAATACATGTTGGTTGAATAAATGAAATAATTCAAGATCAGCACCAAAGCTGCTAGGAGTTTATGAACATCTGATCATAACTGTAAACTTGATCTAAAAAACAAAGGGCAGTCAATCCAATTGACTGGGCATGCCACCTGTTGAAATGCTTCTGCTTCTGTAATGAGTATAAAGTGTTGGAAGAGAGTCCAGAAACCTCCACCATCCTTTCTTCCATCATTCCTCTCCTTTGTGACTCTCTTTGTGATGAGAAGGGTGAGATTAACATGTCAAATATGTGTTACAAACCCTTCACATTCTCTTTCACATCAGCAGAAGCATGCTGCTTCATTGTTGGGCAGTGCCTTAGCCCATGCACACATAGAGTTATATGCTGATTTTCTTTTTTGTGTGTGTGAGATGGAGTCTCGCTCTTTAGTCCAGGCTGCAGTGTAGTGGCACAATCTTGGCTCACTGCAACCTCTGTCTCCCAAGTTCAAACAGTCTGCTTCCGCCTCCCAAGTAGCTGGTATTACAGGCATGTGCTAACATGCTTGGCTAATTTTCATATTTTTAGTAGAGACAGGGTTTCACCATGTTGGCCAGGTTAGTCTCAAACTCCTGACCTCAAGTGATCTACCCGCCTTGGCCTCCCAAAGTTCTGGGATTACAGACATGAGCCACCATGCCCGGCTGTCTGCTGATTTTCTAATTCAGTGTGATACCAAAGACCTGAGATAGTCTCTCCCTCACTTGTCCCATAACACATGCCCATGAGGTGGTGGTAATAACAACTATAGTAGCGTCCAAGGTTGTGAGAGCTCTTACTTTGTGCAATGCTTTTCATGCTACTATCATGTGCGATTCTTAAAGCAACCCCAGGTGGTGAACAATGTTATGATTCCCGTTGTACAAATGAGGAAACTAAGGCTTTGCAAAGCTAGGTAACATGTCAGTATTACTCAGCTTCATAAGCGACAGCCCTGAGACTTGAAGATAAAGTCATCTAATTTCAAAGCTCATGCATTTAGCCATTACTTGAGACAGTATTAACTTTTAAAGTTTGTAATCGATATGAATTTGGCCATGGGAAAGCAAGTAGAGCATCTGGGGCTGATAGGAGATAACAGTATGCCCTCTCTTAGCCTCAGTATCTTCATCTGTAAAATGGGAATAATTACATCTGAGTCACAGAAGTTTTGTGGCTATTGATGAGGATTAAATAAAGTAATGCATATAAGAGAGTTTTGTACAAAGTTCACTTTTATAAAATGCAAGCTGTTATATGGAATGCATAAATTATTACTTAGTTACATGTAAAATCTTCCCACCAAGTGAATGAGGCTTCACCTGGGTGTAGTGCTATGAGATAGATATGAGGGGCAGATTGGTTTATGCTTCTCAAAAACAGAAAGTGTGCAGGGGTGGAAGTGTGGGTGGGGAGTCTGGGCCTCCCTGACATGTGACAAAGCTGGTATGTGAGTAGGGCAGCAGGATGGTTGGGGATTTGGAGGGATGGTGGTAATCCTCTTTTTGGGGCACCCCTCCAGTATTTGGGGATATTCTCGGATTTCTTTTGAGAAGACAAGTGGCTAGGAGCTTCCCTAGCCTTTCTATGGTAAGAACCATAAAGATCTTTGTTGGGTACATACCTGGAGCTTGGTTTCTCTAAGACTAGCTTTCAAGAACTTAATCTGGCTTTAGTCTCCTATTTAAAGCTGCCACCTGCTCTCAATTCTTTGGGTTTTCCTGCTAAGAACAGATATAACTTGGGCAGTCTTCCAGTTCTCCTTTCTTGCTGCCTTGAAGACAACACACAGGCCAATCACAAGGAGGAAGAGACAGGCCCCAACAAGATCCCCATCTCTACTAAAAATACAAAAATTAGCTGGGTGTGGTGGCGTGTGCCTGTAGTCCCAGCTACTTGGGAGGCTGAGGCAGGAGAATTGCTTGAACCTGGGAGGCGGAGGCCGAGATTGTGTCACTGCTCTCCAGCCTAGCGCCTGGCGACAGAATAAGACTCTGTCTCAAAAGAAAAAAAAAAAAAAAAAAAAGATGACAATCCCAGAGAACTCAGTGCGGGTAGACTTGCTGAGGTTCCTGACTTTTGCTGGAATAGAATACCACTGGCTTTTCGATATTTCTTTTCCCAACGGTTTCCTTGTCAAAATGGCCAGCAGCTCAGCTCCCTAAACACATCTTTTCCCCTAGATTGGTTCAGAGGAAGCCATCAGGCTACTTTTGCAAATGGATGATCTGCCTTTCTGAGATCCTTCTTTCCTCTGCTGTTCATAGGAATGATCTCACTGTAATATTTCATTTCGGAATGTTATTAAAGACACCAAGAAATCAACAAGAAAATTTGAATTTATCTGACAGAAGAAACTGGCTTTTTGTTCTCTAATATTTATTTATTAGAACCAATAACTGGTCAGAATTCATTTGCTTAAAACCATGTAAAGAGAGATGCTTAATAAAGATAATTGCATCACATATACTACTCCGTTTTAGTGACTTTCACTTTACAACGATGTGACCATTAAAGAAACAAATTGCTCTTTCTTTCCAATAAGGAATTTTGGAAATTCCTTACTGAAAAATTCCAAATTTTAGGAAATTTCCAAAATTTAAGATTTTGGAAATCCTACCTGCATCAAGTTTTCTGAAAGAATATTTAGAGATCAAGGTTACGTAGAATCCAGCATATTGATAGTTTAATTTAGCTCACATTGTTAAATTCTTTTCCTAATTTTATTTAGGAAATGAGTAATATTGAGAAGGTCCTGGCTGTGGTTTATTACGGTCTGCTCTATAGTCTCTACTCACAGCCAGATTAAAAGTGCCTCAGGGCCAGGTGCAGTGGCTCATGCCTGTAATCCCAGCATTTTGAGAGGCAGAGCTGGTGAATTACTTGAGGCCAGGAGTTTGGGACAAGCCTGGCCAACATGGTGAAATCCCATCTCTACTAAAAATACAAAAAATTGGCCTGGTGTGGTGGCACATGCCTGTAATCCCAGCTACTTGGGAGGCTGAGGCAGGAGAATCACTTGAATCCGGGAGGCAGAGGTTTCAGTGAACTGAGATTGCACCACTGCACTCCAGCATGGACGACAGAGACTCCATCTCAATAAACAAACAAATAAATAAATATACAAATAAATAAATAAAAACTTAAAAAAGTGCCTCAGGTACCCCCTGTGCCTTAGGAAGTGCCTGGTACACACTAGTGTTTGGCACATAATTGTAGTGTGAGATTGAGCCTGACATATTCCTTGATCCCTAGACAATCTCTATGAGGTGTGATCACTTAGGCTAATAATATGATATTTGACTATTACATAATAGCACACTATAATATGTGTCTAAAGCCATAATGTCAACTAATACAATTCAACACGGTAGAATGTGATGAGTGCTTAGAGAGTGATGAGTACTTGAGTACTGTGGTGAGGAAGCATATAGAAGGTAGATCTGGGGGCAGGATGGTTAGGGATTGCTTTGAGTAGGAAGCAACTCTTGACCATGACCTTGAAGAACAGGTAGTGTTTACACGGCATGATACAAGGAAAAGGAAAAGCACGATGAAAGGTGTTGGGGAGAAGGTTTTGGGAAAATATTCATCAGTCTGACAGGAACATAGTTAAGAAAAGTGCAGAGAGGTAGTAGGAGGTAATTTAGAAGTGGAGAATCAGATGTCCTGTTAAGGAGCTTGGACTTTTGTAGGCCCTAAAGACATTGGTGCTAGGATTGGAATGAAATAAAGACTTAACCTTAGAAAAATACAGTGTGGATTGAAGTTTTCAGATGACGAGTGGGTGCGTCAGTTTGGAGGTGATGGAGATAGTTCGAGAGAGGAGTCACACGACTGGAACATTCTTTCAGGACTTGCTTTTTTGAAATCTCGATTGTTTATGGTTGTAAAGATTTTGTTTCAGAAATGACTGGTGGAGAAAGAAGTATATTGAGAGTCAAAAGATGGGACTGTGCCACTCATGTGCTAGTAAAAAACTTCAAGCTTGGTGCTCTGTTTTCCTACCTGTAAAATGGGCATAACAACTACCAGAACATACATCAAAAGATTATACTAAGTGATAGAACTTTGAAAGGTAACATGCCTCATGTATATAAAATGCCATTCACTTGGAATATTTTTATAGTAAAATTATTTTCTTTGGATAAGATATAGATTCAGAAGAAAATCATATTTCTATAAGATTAGGATTCAGATCATTAGAATTTATTCATAGTTAATAAATAGATGCTTTATATTGTGTACTAAATAAGTCTTTTGTTTTTAACACTTCACTTCCCTCACAAAATGGATGAAATCATTGGACTAGGGGAAATGTATGGTCCCTGCACCTGTAGCATTTTATGATTCTATGGTTTTTACCTTCAGCAACCTTCTCCTAGAATAGTGACTTCAGGCCGGTGGCTCACACCTGTAATCCTGGCACTTTGGGAGGCCGAGGTGGGCAAATTGCTTTTTCTTAGGAGTTCGAGACAAGTTTGGGCAACATGGCGAAACTCCATCTCTATAAAAAATACAAAAATTAGCTGGTGATAGTGGTGCATAGCCTTGAGAGGCCAAGGTAAGAGGATGACTTGAGCCCAGGAGATCCAGGCTGCAGTGAGCTGAGATGGTACCATTGCATTTCATCCTGGGCAACAGAGCAAGACCTTGCATTTAAAAAAAAAAAAAAGGGACTTGAGATACTGACAGTATAAGCATACTCAAACCCATGTGCATCTGTGCTGGGAATAAAAGACAGACATGTTCTCATTCCACTGATTTAGGACTCTGGTTAGAAAGGAAAACTGTAATGTCTCCTGCAATTGCCTAAACTGCTTTACATTTATGGGAATGGAAAAGCTGAATTCTGCAATTTGTGGGCAGAGGAAAGGAGGATGAGTATCCTTTCTGATTTCCTCTTTTGCCTTCCCTTCCAAGGGGAAATAAAAGGTTAAGGCAACAATTTAAGAAGAAAAGGCAAGGAGCTACTGGGAGTAGGGTTGGTAGGGAAACGCCAAACCCACTAAATAATTTGATTTCAGTTACAGTGAATCTCAAATGATGATGCTACACTCCTGAGAATGTTCCATGATGGAAATGCCTGGGCTTTGAATTTTGAGCAAAGAAATACCAGGAGAGGGTGACATTATAACATCCAGCAGGAAGAACACTGCTCATGTCAGTTGGAAGGTACTATTCCTCCAGATCACTCAGTCTTCACAAATCAAGCAAGTAGCTACCTCACATGTCGTTTGTGAAGGGAAAGACTCCTAGGAAAATGTTTTCTAGGAAAGGGAAAAAAGCAGAAAGCAAAGGTCTCCTGATTACTACAGCATTCATGTTACATAAGCAGGATTAATGTAATAGAGTATTAATCACTTAGAACAGTTCAAGTATTATTCCTATGTGGGCTCTGCAGGGCCCTTGCTTCACTTCTTTCTCACCATTTGGATTCTGTCCATTTTACTCCTCCCTCTGCACTTGGAATAGAAGTGAAATTCGTTGTGCCAATTTTCTACTTGTTAGAAGCTATGGTAATGTTCAGTAGGGGAAAAGATTTGTACTGCTACATAGAAGGAGATTTTGGGATTATTTAAGGCTTTGTTGATGGGATTCCTAGAATCCACTACCACTGGGTACACTAGACAAGTTTGTAGATTTACAAAAGTGTGGATAACACGGGCTGTACTTGATTTCTCTATCCAGCTTTTTGGTTCTAAATTTATTGCCAGTTTTATTTATCAAACCTATTCTCAGTGGAGTAGTATTTTCTGTGGTCACAAGGAAACATCTGTAAGCTTAAACCTTAGAGGCAGATAGCCAGTTAGAACATTTGGCATATGAAGCTTAGATAGCAGAAGAGAGAAATTAATCATGGCAACCCTCAAAAATATTGAGAAGGCAACTAAGAAAAATTTCTTATCACTGACAGACTGCAGTATTGAGTTTGTTTTAATTAAGAAATGTCAGAATACATAATGAATCAATGAGGAGTGTCATATTATGGCAGGTTTCAATGTTGATGTCAATCTCGACTGCCAGGATTTATGGTAGATTATATAATGGAATCCTGAGTTCTGAGAGATCAAAGGAAAATGCTGGCTCTTTCTTCATCCATTCTCTTAGGTCAAGCCTACCCAGCAAGAAGCCAAGTTGAGAACTGAGCAATTATCTGAAGTGGGCAGTGGAGACGGCCAAACCAGATAATATATAACTAGAAAGTCACCGTGGAGGGAAAATGTGGACTGAAAATAGGATAAGGGGTGGAGGTAGAATGTCAAGCCATTTGGTCAGTGTCCACAGTCCAAATTCACTGAACAACAGCCAATTCCTTACTTCATGTGGTTATTTAGAGCGAGACTAATAGACTAGAGTAAAAAAAAAGAAGAGTTCATGACTAAGGTTGTTGCATGTTTGTGCAAAATTTCTTCAAATCTCTGTTATGATCTGATACATGTCTAATTCTGAGTACTTCCAGGGATTGTATTTCACTATTTTAGATTAGTGGGTTCAGGTGGTGGAGGAAGCCCATATAATCTGACTTGCATGGAGAAAACAAGTCTTTTTTATAGTTTAGTTGAGTGTTATATTTAATTAGCCTTTCCCCCCTCCATAACGCATGCTTGTGAATTTTCCATTTAAAGTTCTGAGGCTCTGACCTTTATAATTTCCTCATGGAGCAATTTCTGTATCTCCTTTAGTAGAACATAGCAATGAATTATGCAAGTTCCCAGAATAGAATTTGTGTTAATTTTGTTTTTTTAAAAACACAACTACCAAAGTCTCAGGACCAGTGTGGTATTTATTTCTTTGATTTGATATGGAAACCATAAACTACTTACTTTGAGCAGATGTTGCCCAGTCCTAAAATTTAGCTATCAGTCCATTGGTCCTAACATGGAGCTATCAATCAGTCCACCTACGAATCTGTTGGGGTGCACCTGCTAATTCTGAAGCCTCCCTAATTCAATGTTAAACTTTTCATTTGTTTTTTTATTGAGAAAAAAATTTGTAAATTAGATTCACTATTGCTTGGAATTAGGAAAAATAGATAGGCATGCCAATATTTCAGATGGAAAAACAAAATTAAGAATTTAACAAGTTTTTCCTCTCCACTCTATCCTATCTTGTAAATTTAAAGTTGTTATACAACATTTTAAAAACAAACAAACAAAAAAACCCAGGGCCTTTTTCCAAGTGCTTAGGCTGATGTTTGAAACCCACACTAAAAAATGCCCTATGGAATCGTCTTAAAGCACCCCATGGGAGTCTATTTGAATAGTCTTAAAGTAAAAATTCAGAAGAATTTTATATACAAGTAAGAATTAAGAACATTGTTTTATAAGCAATAGGGAAAAGCTGTATTAAGTAGCATTGCTCAATTTCTCACTTGTTCTGTGCTGTGACTACCTTTTCGACCATAGATCAACGTCTGAATCTTCGTGGTAAAACCGTATCTACCACAGCCACGGCAGGTTTTGTTCTGCTGCTGCACATGTGATTTGAGATATTGTGGGCTGGGTTTTTTTTTTAAAAAAAATTATTTCTAATGGCGGCAAAGTGGATCTATAGAAATGGAAGTCATCTGTAATCCCAGCACTTTGGGAGGCCAACGCGGGCAGATCACCTGAAGTTAGGAGTTCAAGACCAGCCTGGCCAAACATGGTGAAACCCGTCTCTACTAAAAATACAAAAAATTAGCCAGGCATGGTGGCGTGTGCCTGTAGTTTCAGCTACTGGAGAGGCTGAGTCAGGAGAATTGCTTGAACCTGAGAGGCAGAGGTTGCGGTGAGCTGAGATCAAGCCATTGCACTCCAGTCTGGGGGGCAAGAGTGAAACTATGTCTCAAAGAAAAAAGGAAAAAAAAAAAAGGAGAAGAAATGGAAGTCATCCCGTGGACCTGAGCTGGTGTAGTGGATTATGGCCTGTATGTAAATGAAGAAATGCTTGCTGGTGGCATCAGTGGCAACTAGCTTAAGCCCTACGCAGCTTTGTAAAAGAATGTAATCAAGGAATTTGATCTGAACAGATAAGCCAAACATTGATTCTTCAGTGCCTATTGATAAGTGAGACTACTGTTCTTTTTAACAGACTTATTTCACTTCAGTGGGGAATCAAACCAGCTTTAATTAAGGAAATCTGTAGAAATCAGCGGTATCTCCCTTTCTTTCTCTGTTAAACAAACAAAAGGAAGAAGAAAGTCATAAGCACAAAGATCTCTTCACATTCTCCAGGACTGCAGTACCAAATATCAGCACAGATCTTCTTGAAAAAGGATGTAGATCTTAATCTGAATTTTGAACCATCACTGAGGTACGTGTGAACGTATTAGTTTCCTCTTTCTCTGTACCAACTTTGTCCATGAATTCATAAGATCTAATTTGGTCATCAGTTTGGAGAATGATTTTTCATTTAATTTCTTTGATTATCAAGAATGTATTGCCAGGGGCTCAGCAGTACACTTACTATCTGCTGGGCACTCTACATATGTTGCTTTGGTTGAAATTAAGGATATAATCCATGAACTATCACCATTTAAAACAATCCCCAACATCTACTGTGTGGGTGAGGTTTCTTTGCATATTATCAGAGAGGCTGCATGCTGAATTGTCTACTCTAAGTATGGAAAACTCAAGCTTTTTTTTTTTTTTCTTAAAATAGAGCTTTTATTTCATTCTTTTTTCCTCAGAGCTTTACCATAGTTTCCAGGAAATGAAAACATTTCTTGATTTCACAACCTCCTTCTTCTCTTGCCAGTTGTATGGTGCTAACCGGAAGCAAAATGTGAGTGTACTTTTAATTTAACCCTAAAATAGGAGAACATCTTCAGAATATACACTTTACATATTCAGTGACCTACCTAAAAATAGAGACATCATTCTTACATTCTCGGTCATTAAGAAACATTTCTATTGAATTTAATTATTCAAAGCAACAGGTAGCAGTTTCACAAGGGAAAAGATAAGCCATACCAGTTGTATTTGTGGGCACTAAATAATTACACTATTTTTATCTGAAATTAAGATAAAATAACTTACTGACCTTCAAGTCCATTTCTCATTTCCTCCATAAAACATTTTAAAACTAGTTCATAAACCTCTTGAAAACTCATGCCTATGTTACAATTAAAGTGCACATTGTCATTATTGCCTAGAAGCCAACTCGAGAGGCTATGTATCTATGTAGCATCTTGCAAATCCAGTAGCAGGCATGTGATATAAAGGCATGTGCACCCCTGATTTGTGAATACTATCCTAACTTTCAAAACGGTCAAAAGCACAGCAAGTCTGGGCTTTTTAAAGTAGAACCTGCCCAAATTGCAAGGGAGAGGTTGGGTATAGGACATAGTTCTCTCTGCCAATCAGCTTGAGATGCCAGTGGACTAAACCTGACTTCACTAAGGACCAGACTGGCAAATATTACTCAGCGTGGTAACTTCCTAATTGTAGAACCGGCCTGTTTGGTGAAGTATTTTAGGACAATTTTTAGCTGGACCTTTTCTACCCTACTGCATAGGAAATGAAGATTTCTAGGCAAAGACTTTATACTTAGTGACTAACCAAAAATGGTAAATAAAGTCACCAACTCCAGGCTTAGCTACTGTCCTCAAAAGTGCTACGAGACTGGTCAGGCCAGTCTTCTGAGGCTGGAGGTGCATCTGGAATCCCCCAGAGTCTTGACTGCGAGGGCATGGCTGACTGCAGGCTGTTTAGAAGTACCCCGCCCCACGATACTCCCCTGGCTTAGGAATTGTAAACAGTTTTGGTTCTAATCCCTCTACTCAGACTCTGAGTAGCTGTGAATGAGCTGTCCTGTGAATCCCAGAAATGTTAATGGGTGAGCTGCTCTAGCTTCTTACTTTTTATTTTTGAGACAGAGTCTTGCTCTGTTGCCCAGGCTATAGTGCAGTGGCCCGATCTAGGTTCATGGCATCCTCTGCCACCCGGGTTCAAGCGATTCCTCTACCTCAGCCCCCTATCTGGGACTGCAGGAGCGCGCCCCCATGCCCGGCTAATTTTTTTTTTTTAATTTTAATAGAGACAGGGTTTCACCATGTTGGCCAGGATGATCTCGATCTCCTAACCTCGTGATCTGCCCACTTCGACCTCCCTAAGTGTTGGGCTTACAGGCGTGAGCCACTGCGCCTGGCCCTAGCTTCTGACTTTTAAGTAGAAAGTGCCTGTAGCTCTTTGCTAGCTTGCTGCAGAGAGTTTGATTCTTCTTTCGGGTAGCAGGGAGAGATAATGAAGAAATAGGGGGAAAATAGGTTTTAAGACATCAGTGAGTCTTCTATCTAGCTGAGGCTGAACAAAGTCGGAGAATCAATGCAAGTCACTGCGGTTTGGATCTCATACCATTTTCAACATACACCTCCTTTTCTCTCTTTTTGTTTCTACACCTGTCAGACCCTGAGTAGTCTTGCATTGTTTTCCCCACTTTGAAATTTTAGATCCAAAATTGATGATTCCAGAAAGGTCTAAGGTGCTGCTGCTGAGATTTTGAAAGAGAGCCGAGGCCAGGCGTGGTGGCTCAAGCCTGTAATCTCAGTACTTTGGGAGGCCGAGGCGGGTGGATCACAAGGTCAAGAGATCGAGACCATCCTGGTCAACATGGTGAAACTTCGTCTTTACTAAAAAAAAAAAAAAATACAAAAAATTAGCTGGGCATGGTGGCACGCATCTGTAATCCCAGCTACTCAGGAGGCTGAGGCAGGAGAATTGCTTGAACCCAGGAGGTGGAGGTTGTGGTGAGCCGAGATCGCACCATTGCACTCCAGCCTGGGTAACAAGAGTGAAACTTCGTCTGAAAAAAAAAAAAAAAAAAAAAAAGAGAAAGAGAGCTGAAACGAACTGTTGGGATTCTAGATGCCATTGAGCATCTACCTGAGTAACTGTGTTATGTTGGGTCACCAGAAGAATTCTCCTCCATTTTTGCTGCCCTTCCAATTTATTTATTTATTATTTTTCTTCTTATTCTTCTCCTTCTTCTTCTCTTCTCCTTCTTCTTCCACCACTACTACTCCTTCTCCTTCTCCTTCTCCTTCTCCTTCTCCTTCTCCTTCTCCTTCTCCTTCTCCTTCTCCTTCTCCTTCTCCTTCTCCTTCTCCTTCTCCTTCTCCTTCTCCTTCTCCTTCTCCTTCTCCTTCTCCTTCTCCTTCTCCTTCTCCTTCTCCTTCTCCTTCTCCTTCTCCTTCTCCTTCTTCTTCTTCTTCTTCTTCTTCTTCTTCTTCTTCTTCTTCTTCTTCTTCCCCACCCTTCCAATTTATAAGCAACACAGAACATCAGTGGTTCTCCCATAATCAAATATACTTGGCTCTATTAATATTAAATTTTGGTCTTGAGTAGAAATATTCTAAGGGCTAAAAAATAAAAGATGTAAAATGTCTGTTAATGAATTAGTGTAGAAACCACACGTGGAATTGCCCCCTTTTCCTCTTTCATTTTTTTAAGATCCAACACTCAAGTTACAAAAGTTAATTCTTTTGTTTTGGAGACTGAGTCTTGCTCTGTCACCCAGGCTGGAGTGCAGTGGCACGATCTTGGCTCACTGCAACCTCTGCTTCCTGGGTTTAAGCGATTCTCCTGCCTCAGCCTCCGAGTAGCTGGGATTAAAGGCACACACCACCACGTCCAACTAATTTTTGCATTTTTAGTAGAGACAGGATTTCTCCATGTTGACCGGGTTGATCTCGAACTCCTGACCTCAGGTGATCCACTAGCCTCAGCCTCCCAAAGAGTTGTGTGAGCCACTGAGACTGGCCACAAAAGTCAATTCTTAAAACATAAAAGTTCCATTTCTTTTATGGTCCACTTTAGTCATGTCTGGAGTCAGTGAGCTCAGTCAGGTAGTTTGTAGAATGACAGTCGTGACACCTATTCATTTACCCATCAGATTATTTTCTGCTTGCCATTGCGCTTTATAGAAAACAGTTTATTTGGTCATTACAACAGCTCTAGGAATGGGTTTCATTATATCTACTTTCTAGGAAAGCAAACTAAGGCTTTGACAAATCAAGTAATTTGCTAAACACTATCCAACTGGTAATGATATGACAGGACTTGAGCTTAGGATGATAACTCGAGATCTTGGTCCCTGTAAATATGGGTTTCCTCAGGCAGAGGGCTTAGATTTTGAAGCAAATATAGAAGCAGTATAAAAAAGAAAGACTTCCCATAGGGAGCTTGTCATCCATTGAATGAGAAGCTCAGACTTCCACTGTGAAATGATATTTGTATCCCCATTGTGTGTAGCAGATGGGGACTCTCATCATTGTAAGAGCACATTTTTCTGCGTATAAATGACACTTAATAGAGCTGACAGATTATATATATCTGAAACACTTTTACTTAGCAGAAAGGCAATGGGCTAAGATTAGCTGACCAGTAATTTTATTTATCATGCCCAATTCCCATGCTGACTTCTCTTCTACTAGTAAAAATGTGTCATCAGATTTGGTCCCAAGCTGGAAAGGTAAAAGGATCCTTTCACCAGGAAACAATATTCATGCCATGAGTTTTGCTTTCCTAGTGAAGTGTCTGGTATGGATTAATGACCTATATCATTATTTTGGGGGTTTCTAAACACACATGAACTAAAGACGGAAGAGATGATGGAAAAGATGGAAAGACATGACTCAAATGTACAAAGGCTTGCAGAGAGAAGGATAATCCCAAAAAATTGGTGAATCACACATGAATAATCATGAACTGACTACAATAGAACAATATGTGTTCATTTTCACTAATGAATAAGCTTCCATTATGTCTTTTCATTCTCTATTTGGGACAAATTAAGTCTCTGCTGTATTTCCATTCTTACAGGAACTTATCTGCTGTGATTTTTCCTGGGTTTGACTTTATCTTGTTGCTTTAATCTTGTCTCTAATTAAATTGCAACCCCAACAAATATATTCCAGTATTGTTTATTGTAATTCCTACCTTTATGTCAGGTAGCAAGACGAAGGGACTTGTTTTATTAATTTATCAGTCTGGGTGTGTGCTAAGAGGAATCTTAGTACACACTTTGATTATGGTAGATTGGGTCTAAAAGCTGGTTTATTCCATTTTATTGGTCTGCCTACATAACAAGGCCACACAGCTGTGCCATATTGTTGACCTGACATATAAAATCAAATAAGATGTACCAGAATTTTCTGTACAGTCTGAAGCTGTAGGTGTACAATGACAAATGAAAAATCTTAGTTATTTGGACTTTTGGGTTCCATGATGCCAGAGAAAGCCAGACACCAGGAGCTTGAATCAGCTAAGACCTAAGACCCTGAATATACATACATATAGATGTTTACATTTTCT